AAAGAAAAGGGAGGAGCAGGTGAAAGAGTACTTCCCCAATACACAGAGCGACTGAGGCTGCTCACCCGTTATGTGCAAGATCCAGGCTTAAATCCTTCTTCTTTTCTGCAAGGACTTCAGACCACATCTCCCAAAACAGTGCCAACGTAAAGTTCTATCCTTTCCAGGATAAATTAAATATTAATTTGTCCTTAATTATGCCTTAATTAATTTATAGTGAAAGCAAAACAAGAGAAGTGAATGACTTCGTAGCCTTTCTGGGCTTCCTCTTAAGAGCTGGATGACCTTGGTTCAAATTCTTTTTTTGAACCAGAGCAGACAGTGAATTTTAGCATGAACTCCAAACATCTCTGGCATGAGTCTTCCTCAGTCCCAGCTACTGATACTTTCCCACTTAAATATTCACTGGCACAGGGCTGGAACCTAAATGCTGTATCTGCCAAGTAAGTATCATAAGCACTGGGATACAGGGTATCCTCTCACACACTCAATGACTTTGGGCAAAATTATACTTGGACCATACTAAGGGAACTTAAAATGCAAGCATCCACACATTAATGCTTGTTAACTCATTCTGTGTAACCTCACAACATCTCAAAGTTATGCTACTTTACATAAGGGTTAATTCTGGGTCATGCTACCTATCTCATTAGGATAATTTCTGCTGCATGGAGAGAAAACCAGCAATGTGTAGTCCTCCAGCATCCCAGAATGCACTGCTCCCAGCCCCTCCCCTTACCCCAGCAAGAATAGAGACCAGGTAGCCTACTCCCCAACCCTCTAGTGGTAAGTCAGAGGTATGCAGGCAGGAAACAGGGACTGCTCACAGCATGTTTGAACTTTGAGTTTGGATAGATATTCAGTTTCTCCACGGAGAGTCTCTCCTGTCTCAGGAGAAACCACTACCATCTAGATACTTGTAATTTTTTTCTCCCAGAGTAAAAGTGACCACTCAGGAGGGAAAAAATAACTAGGAAACAACTGGAGTGAAGTGGCTCCCCACAGAATGTATCTTGGGAGGCAAAACCTCTGCATAGGCAACAAATGCAGAGCCAATCTCTGCAATCGTTGCTTCTTTTCTCTCCTCCTCTCCACAGGAGGAGGGATGGCATGCATCTGTCCCACCCAAGCAGGGACCAGAATGTGATCCCTGAGCACTTTGGCTTGGAAAAGCCCAGTGCTGAAGCAGTTAGGTGGCTCCTGGGTTGTTCCCTGTCTGAATCATACTGCAGTACTCACACAAGCATACGCCCTGCCCAGCTGGGCTCCAATACAGCAGAGGACCGGAAAAGCTGAAGGACACTTCTGTGCAGGTTACAGACACGCCTTTACCTTCCCTGACCCCCTCTGCCTACATTCGCTTAAAAAAAAGGCCTGTAGGGTTACCATACATCCAGGTTTTCTCGGACATGTCCTCTTTTTGGGTCTTCCCACCTCTGTCCGGGCAGTTTTTTAAAATATCAGCAAACGCCAAGGAGGTTTCTGCGCCTCTGCTCTAGCAAGGCCCTGCTTGAGGCTGGGGGGCAGCGGAGGACGTTGATTGGAGGCGGGGCATCACATGCTCTGTGAGTGAGCCAGGCAGCGGCAGGCGTGTGCGCGTGCAGGTATGCGAGTGTGTCTGTGCCAGCGTTGGGGCTGCAGGAGTCAGGGAAGGGACGGGGTTCTTCGTGGGTAGGCGACGCTCTTGAGTGTGCTCTCGGCAGACAAACTTGTGGGCCCCGCTTAATACCGTATATTTATTTTTTCACTCAATAATTATGATATGGAAAATAAGCGTAAGTGGGCCCCTTCCTCACTTAGGGCCCTAAGCATGTGCCTAGTTTGCCTGTGTTAATCTGGCCCTGTAGGCGGTAGGGGTGTAATGACTATGACATTTTAAAAACCCACTGAGCTTCTGTCTAAATCGGATTCAACATTTAATATTTATTTGAATGAATGCCCTGTTATCTGCTCTCAGCAGTCTCCTGGAGATGTCTATCTAATCCTGGGACACTCCACAGCAACCCCGGGGGCCTGGTAGCCCAACACCGCCCCGCCCGCACACTGGGCTCCCGCGCCTGGAGGCCAATGGTAACCCCCCTTCTGCTCCTATGGGACACAAGCAGCCGCCAGGCGCCACGAGCGTTCAGCGCCTGGCGTCTCAATCACGCGCGGCGGCTCCTACAGCCCCCAGCATGCAGCGCGCCGCGGGGCGGCCCGTACTGCACGGCGGGCGGGCACTCCAGTCGCGTTGCACGCCGGGACGTGTAGTCCCGCGCTCAGCCAATGCGGGCTGGCGCGGCCGCAGGTAGGAGGCCGTGACCCCGCCCCCGTGCTCCAGCCCGCCGCGTGCTCGGGGCTTGTTCCTCAGCTTCCGGCAACGGCAGGGGCTGCCCTACCCCCTTCCTGCGGGCGGCGGCGCTGGCAGGTGAGCGAGGGCAGCGGCTGGGCCGGGATGGGATGCGTCGCCCCGGGGATGTCCAAGGCAGGCGCGGGCTGGGGAGCGGTTGGGGGCGCTCCCAAGATAGGACGCGACCGCCCCCCGGGCATGGCTGGGGAAGGAGCCGGAAGGTGGCTCGGTGGGGCCACAGGTTAAGAGAGCAGCCGGCTGCGGGGAGGCGCCCGTGCTGCCCCGCACGGCAGGTCCGTGGGCTGCTCGGTGGCGGCGACCCGAGGAGGGACGGCAGTGCTGTGCGGCCGGGCCGCTGCCTCTGCCTGCTCCGGGGGCCTTGAAAGCCGAGGGGGGCGGCCTGGCTGCTGAGCAGATTTGCTTTATGCCGGCAGCTTCCTTGGCGAGGCAGAGTTTGGCTCTGGGGGCCAGGGATTTAGCTGTGCATTTCCATCAAGAGCAGTTTGGTGAAAAATGTATGCTCTCCCCAAAAGTAACTGCAAACCAAGAGCAGGCTCGCTCCAGTGCCTGAAGAAGGGTGTTTGTGCCTCAAAGCTTACAACCAAACACTTTTTCCAACTACTTAGCTGGTTTAATAAAAGAGATCGCATCTACCCAAAGAACCATATCTTCCTATGTCTTTAGATTGGGGGTTCCCAAACTCTGACAGATAGTGTGCCACCAGTTTAAAAACAATACAACCTTAAGTACCACCAGCAAATTTTTGTCATATAAAGTAATTATAATAAAGCCATCCATGCGTGCTACTGGCAGGTTGCCTGCGTGCCACTGGTGGTAGCCGTACCACAGTTTGGGAACTGCTGCATTAGACCAACATGGCTACAACCAGCAACCCCAGACTAACTGGGAATTCAGGTCAGGCCTGCTTATTGCTTTCACCTGAAAGAGATGTCAGGGCTAGGCTTGCTAAGCTTTGGAGGGGGGGGAGGGCAGTGCAGAGAGAGATGTCCTCCTTTTATTTAATGGTACATTGGCTAGAGACCTGGCATTGAATCTCCTCTGCCTGAGGGGATTGGATCCTATCCCTCCTGACACAGCAGGGTGGATAAAAAGTAACATTGTTTTTTTAAAAATTCAAAATAATCCGATTTTTTTTAATTTAAATCAGTTTTCTTATTTAATCAGTTTTTTATTTTTTTAAGATGCTTTTAAAAAAAAAAAACCTATATAGAGAGTTGTATTTTAAGATATGTTAAAGTTCAGAGATATCATCATAGAATAGGAATTATAACTTCTAATTATATACTATTTGAGACAATATATTCACGTAACTATTTCAGAAAAGTTTTTTAAATAGGTTACAACAGACCACGACCTATATTAGGCACCCAATCTTGTGGGGTTCCCAGAGGTTCCTCTATAGATTAGTAAAGATTAAAGAAAACCCTCTATCCAGTGGGACTGAGTGCTCAGTCTCTAGAACAGTGGTCACCAACCAGTCAATTGGGATCAACCCAAAGCCTCTTGCAGTTGATCCTGGGCTGGTGGGGGGCTGAGTATGCATATGCATACGTGTGTGCCCCCCTCCCAGCCTAACAGGTCAGTTGGTGGGGGAAGGGAAGGGGCTAGATTGAGGCCCGGCAGTGAGGGACACAGTGCAGGAACAGCCTGGTAAGTGGGACCCCGGCCAGGGGGCAGGTAGGAGGATCAAGTCCAGGTGGCTCACCGGGGGGGGGCTCCTGCTGCTGCTGTGTGCACCCCAGTGGAGGCCCCAAGGAAGGGTGTTGATGGCACAAGGTAGATTTTGGCTTCCTTTTAAATTCCAAAAGTGATCTCCAACTTAAAAGGTTGGACACCACTGCTCTAGGAGATCCCATTAAGCATCTCTGTGATGCTTAGTTTCAGTTCATAAACTGTGAATTTGTCTCAAGAGATAATATCCTTGTTAGCAGTACATGGAGATGAGATATAACAGACCTGATGATTACCCACCCTCTTGTCTCTCTGAAAGTTTGTGTACCCAGAGTCAAGCCCTTGCCTTTCTCTAAGAGTGCAGAGTTTCAAAAAGTAAAATGAATAGAGAATATCAAACAACAAGAATGCACATTTTGAGATAACAGTGATCAGATTGAGGCTTCCTGACCAGTGATTTAAATTGTGATTTAAATCACAATTTAAATATATTTGATTTAAATTAAATCCACCCTGTGAGAGAGTGTCCCAACCACCAGGTTATGGGGCAGTGGTTCTCAACTTTGTTAGACCCCTCAGGAAGTACCAGCTCTTAGCACCTTGCACAGTCAGGCTTCTTAAATGTCTGGACAGTAATATATAAACTGACAAATAAACATCTAACAAACAAGCAATAAAGTTGACCATGTCAGCTTTTCTTTGGGACAAATATTTCTAAAAAGGAGGCTTCTATAGAAGCTGAGGCCAATAGAAATGCATTTACAACTTAAAAAAAGGAAAAAAAAAACACCTGTAGTCTTTAAACCAGCTTTTTATCATAGTGTCTGAAACCTAAACCCTGAAAGGAAACTGGTCAGTGAAGTCAGTTAACCTTTTTTTAGTCAACCAAGAAGCAGTAAAGGGGGACCATATGGAGATTAATTTCTAAAAACAATTTTTAAAAAAATCACAATTTCTAAATAATGAAAAGATATTTGCAGCCTTTGGGTTTAAATTTCTTTAACATTGCTAGGTCTAAAGAAAAATGCACTGAATTTTCAACTGTTAACAGCAACCAAAACTCTTTCAGTACAGACAGATTTAGTTTATAATGTTAACAAATTCTGTGTGCTTCACTTCCAGAAGGGAGAAGCATAAACAGAGAAAGTTAGTGTGCTGTTGTTTTGTAAGTGATGGCATAAACACCCTGGCATCCAATCCTTTCTTGTGTGTGTTCAGCAATTCATCATCTGCTGTCAGCAGCTTTAAAGGTGAATATTCTGTCTTCCTAGTTCATTCTTAACTTGAACGGGCCCCAAAACAGGGTTTGAACAGGAACAAATCTCTTCTGAAAAATAGGCGAATTCAAGTTCTAGATAAAACAAACCTACTTGACTTTTTTTTACCTATTACGAGAGGGTGGGGACAAATGATTTGTTTATACATAGCTATGCAAGCTGACAGGGAATACAATGACTTCTCTGTTTTCCTTGTAATGAAATGTGAAAGCCACATAAAACTTTAATACGGTAGGTGGGTAGCTCACTTAAAATCAACCTTCATCTGTCATCCTTACTGTGTTGATGCAAGTCCTGTTGCAGTTATTTGCCTAAAAATGTTTTATCAACATTTCTTTTTGCTGCTGCCTCCCTAGCATTTTTACTCTGCCCAAATATATTTGTAGACAAGACTAATATTATTTTATAAGGAAATATTGGGCACTCAGTTGCATTGTTTTCTTCTGTTGATGATCTCGTTTTCAGGAGAAGAGTCTAACTTTCATTTATTATAGTATTAAACGCTGTTATTAGCAAATTATGGTAAGTAAAAAATCTGGTTTGGATATTGAGAATTTAAAACTGTATCATCTCCAAAGATGTTTTCTCACAAAATTTATGTATGAAAGATACTGGTATAATATATGTACGTGTTTCTCTTCCTGGCCCACACACAGCAGTATGTCAGACTCATTTGATAATAGTGTGCCTGTAGCTCATTCAAAAACTGACCGTTCTACGTGGAATTAAACTTCTGGGATCTGGTAGAGGTCCTCTTTTTGTTTTATCAGCAACTCCTCATAATCTGAACCACTGTTGAATGCATCTTTCTAGGCATTCACCTCTCAGGAAAGGATCCTGGTCACAAACTCGAAGACGTTTTGGGAGAGGTTTTCCTCCTCCCTCCTGTTAACATTGTTTCACTGTGCATGAAACCTAGAAATTGTTGCTGAGAGAGAGCAAGAGAGCCCATTGATTAGGACACTTGGATGCTGGTCCTTGTTCCAGAGTCTCCTCAACTATTTATATGAAGTGGAATGCTGACAGTCAGAGAGCTCCCTACCCCAGAATGAGCTAGTACAATCTTCCAGCCCCTCAGAAGATGTGAGGGATAAAAGAAAAGGCTGCCGTTTCTGCTAAATCAAGTCTAGTGATACTCAGACTGTATAGCTCCCAAGCTAAAAGTGCCTCTTCATCTTGTCACCTAGAGCTTTCACAGAAAACGTTACCAGTTTGAGGTTTGTTTTTTTTTCCTGTATGCACTGTAAATGCTTTTCCTACAAGCCAGTAAGCACTAAAAAGGTTTAACACTTTTGAAGTGTTTTTCTCTGCTAGAGTGTGCAGATGCTAAGTAATATGCTGTGTTTTTTTTATTTCTTCCTTTTGATCTGCAGTGTTGCCTACAATTTTACATAGAGTAAATCTTGTTATGGCTCTTAGTTAACTCTGGCTACTCATGTGGTTCTTGAACTAGTCAGGACTGAGTGTTGCTGATCTAGCCCTTCATTTCCTCTGTTTTTCTTACAGCTGCCTGAACAAAAAAATGTTTGTTCTGTTTGAAGCAAAACAAAATGTTTTATTTTCATATTGATGTGAAACAAACATTTTAAATGCAGTTTAATCTGACCCAAACCTCTTACAGTTTTTTTGTTTGTTTGTTTGCTTGGCTGCCAAAATAAAAGAATTATCATTATCACTGCCCTAGTTTTCTTGTATATGTGTCTTATGCTTAATTACTATCAATTCAAACCACTTAATGTGCCACAATTAACTTTGTTACAAATGTTTGCAATATTATGTGCTGCAAACACAACTGGGTGTTTTCAGACTTAACTTGATTTGAAAAGATGCACTGCAGTGACTGGTATGTAAAATATATCTTCTGTTCCATCATCACATGCAGTTTAATGTGTTTTCTTTGATTCGTGATATGCAGATCACTTATTCACACAGGTTTGATTCACAAAGCATGATCCTTGAGATGTGAGATAATTTGGTGAGAATTCAGAAAATAAGCAGTTTTGTTTACACCGGGTGCATCTACGCATGATGCTAACTATGCAGTAGCCGAATTGTACTGCACAGTAATGTGTCACAGCACAGACAGTACTAATATACCACTGTGCAGTATTATTAGGCAGTGCAGAGTAGCATCACTAAAAAGATGTTCACTGGCGCTACTGTCCAGTAACTCCAGTTACTGCATATTTATTTAATACTTGATTATACAATTACTAAATAAATGTACAGTAACCACTGCACAGTAGTTCCTCGTGTATACATGCCCACTAAGTATTTTAAAGTGCTGCAACTTTTTTTAGTGCCATACATCTTTATGTAATATACATCCTATCAACTGTTCTAGCAGCAAAGTTAGGTGTTAATATATTTTTTTTTACTTCAGGATGGTGTAGTTAGACACGTGATACTTAAATTTTACTTCTTTTTTATTTTAGTGTCTTGGAGATAAGATTCCTAAACTGCATCCTTAAAATTAAACTAGCTTTTGAGGCAACACCAAAATCAATGTAATGTTTTAACTGTTTTAATTGAAATGAGGATTCTTCTAAAAGTAATATTTTAATGTTGAGTTTGTTATAGAAACATCAAGACAGTAATTTCAGTACCTTCTTTTTTTTTTCCTTAGATATATTATGTTCCTGAGGAGACAAGAAAAATGGTTTACAGAGTGAATTCCTTTTTAAACTTTTGAATAAGGAAGTGTAAATTTGAGGTTATCTAATAAAGGATGACAACCCCATATGTTCCTGTTCCTATTCCTATAGGAAGTTCTTCCAACTTCACAACAAACAGAAACCAAAGAAGGTCTTCCTTTGGGAGCATCTCAACAAGCTTAAATTCTTCAAAAGGACAGTTGGAGGACTCTACCAGTGGTAGTTTTAAAAAGATGAGCGTGCCTGACCAGATTGGCTCTACATCATCTGTTAATAGTAGCCCACTTGTTAGGACTAAATTTACAGGTACGGACACATCCATTGAATATTGTACACGGCCTATGGAAGATGTAGAGCAGAACACAGATTCTGGGAGCTGGGAAGATCGGCCATCCACACCTACGATACTGGGTTATGAGGTGATGGAAGAAAGGGCAAAATTCACTGTAAGTTTGTTCCAGGGAAATGTAGTTATCCCATTCAGTTTGCTGGAAAAAAATGAATTCCTCCTTAATCCACAAACCTCAAGTTACTTTTAAAAGCTAAACTGGTATTGCAGCACTCTAAGAATGAGAGAGAGGGGTGTATTATCCCCATTGCACAGATGGGAAAGTTGAGGCAGTAAAAGAGTCCATTGAATAGAGCTGGGTCACTTTGCTGCAAATATCTTACCATAGAGGCTTGTTCTTCCTTCAAAAGGTAAAAAATTCTTTATGTAAACCAAAAATACCAAGTGATCCTAAACTATTTTTATATTATAATGTCTGGAAATATCTGTCTTTAAAATTGGCATTGAACAAGTTTCATGTTTTTCCTTTTCAACTGTTGAATAATGTAAAAATATACTAAAATGCCCAAATAACATGCTGAACAGTTTCTAAATATTCAAAGGTTCTTAATTATAATAGGCTTGTTCTATTCCAAACACATGTATATGAGTATATGTGCAAGAAGCTGAAAATAATCACATGCCTGGCATCTCATGTCAGAATCTTAGCTCAGTTTTTTTCATCTTCTGAACATACCCACTAGATTTTTAATTTTTTGGATGCCTTGTTTAGATATAACACGATAAAGAGGCAGTTTTAGTGGATTTGGTTAAAGCAGAGGTGCTCAACCTCTAACCTACAAGACAGATGTGGTTCGTAGTACCATGCCATCCTGTTCACGGGGCTCCCCATAGGTCCAGAAATTTGGCAGCAGAGGAGTAGTGGCACTGTTCTCCTGCTGCCAAATTTCTAACTCCATAGGGAGCCTCGGGCCCTGTATGCTGGATTGGGCACCTGACCCCAGTGCACAGGTCTGGGGAGGGGCAGTTCTGGGCCCTAGGGCCTAATACCAGGACACTGGGACAGCTCCAGCCCTCCAGGACCTAATTGTGGAGGTGGGTGAGAGTGCTGTTGGGCCCCTGTGGCTCAATCCTGGTGGATGGGGCAGGGAGGGGGTAGTGCTGGGCCCTAAGGCCCAATGGTGGTGCACAGGGCTCTATCTGGTCTGCAGACTAGCCCTCAACCACTCATCTGGCCTTTGGGGCCAAAAGGTTCAGCACCACTGGGTTAAAGTATTTCATTAATACAGATAAGTGGTCTTCTTGGACTAGGAGAAAGTTGTCCCTACTAATGGAGGAAAAAAATGTGTACATTTTCACAGCATTAATTAAGAAAATGATGTTCATCACAAACTAAACCCCACGACCCCTAAATGATTCAAGGAACTGATGATTGGTGACTTTTTGTCTCTACAATTTCTTTTAGATTAGTAGCAAGTGGAAGCCAATGGCTTTTGCATTTTAGAAATATACTCTTATTAAAAATAGAAAGAGAAGAAGAAGAAAAACTTCATACAAACACATTTTAATTGGCTTACTAAAACTTCCCAGTATTCAGGATGAATCTCACATGGGTTATCGTATAATAAGTTAGCAGGTTACTAACATTAGCTTCAAAACTGTAGCAATGAATTCTCTTGTTACACTATTATGAAATGGTACAACAGCCACCTTCAACTTCATTTAAAATAAAAACACAGAAGCATCATCAAATGCAAAAGATCAGGGTAAGTATAAATGTTCTTTTAGTGTTTGCAACTTAAAGGCATGTTTGTTTTAATGTACAGGCAGTCCTCGACTTACAACGTTTCCAGTTACAACATACATTTATAAATTGACACCCTGTTTCAACTTTATGACGTCAGCTTCAACTTTACAACACTTGATCCGATGTGATGCCACACCAGCGAACAAGTTCGCTGTGTCGCTCATCTCCCTGGAGAACATCTGTCCAAACTTCTTTGGACACTTTCTTTAAGAAAGCAGACAAGATACCAGAAAAACCTGCAGCCAAGACTTCTGAGAAGACTTGAGCCAAGAACACTTCAAAAAGTCGAACCAAAGAGCCTTTTAAAAAGTCCAGCAAAGTTACCTCAAAGAAGTCCTTCCAAATCAATAAGATTGCTATTTACAATATAAATACATCAGTGTAGCTATATTACTCATCTATAATTGATCAAGTACAAAATTCTGCGGTATTTTTAGTGAAAATAGGGTATCGGGCCTTGGTTCAGGAATCAATCCCCCATTTATAACATTGTTTCTTATGAGTAAATTGGTTCCAAGTTGCAACTTTTCAACTTAAGGACATGGTTTTCAGAAACCAATTGTGTCAGAAGTCTGAGGACTGCCTGTACACAGGTAGCCCAAATTTAAAAAGTACTGCTTGTTTATGCAAGGTAAGCATGTGCTAAAATGGGTAGGCAATGTTTTTTGGCCGGAGTGCCAAAAAAAGTACGTCTACCTTGTAAGGTGCTGGAGTGCTGGCACGCCACAAAAACAAAACTCGGGCAGAGAGGGTACATGGCAGGATGCACTGCATATTTAATACTATTAACAATCATTAATGTTGCTTTTTTTATTTTAATTTTTTTTTTTTACAGTAAATAGAGAGCTGGTGTCAGGCGGGGAGTGGGAGCTGCTCCAGGGCTCTGGTGCTTGGGCCACAGCGAGGGCCCAGCAGCATTGGAGGTGGGGCCCAGCCAGCCTGAGCAGCTTCATAGGGATGGAGCAGGGTTGGGGCAGCATGCTGGGCTCGGGGGCCTCCTGCTTGGTCTCTGTGTGTGCTGGGTACAGTGGGAGTGGAAGCTGCAGCCACAAGCTGTTCCCTGGGCTCTGGGAACACCTGCTGCAGCTGGTGCTCAGGGCCAAGCCATCCGGGAGCCTGCAGCACAGTGGCCCTGTACAGTGCCTGCCCTAGGCCTGGCCCTTTGAGGGGAGCTGTGGGTGGGCAAGGCCAGGACCCAGGCAGGCTGAGGCAGCTGCAGTGGCTGTTCCCAGGCTCCAGGGGGATCCCGTAGCCAGGCCCCTGCACTGGGGACAGCTCTGCCCTGCCTGCGCTGTGCCCAGCATGCAGGGAGGCCGATCCCGGAGAGGGAAGCCCCCTGAGCCTGGCATCCTGCCCCAGCCAGGCAGCATCCCTATGTGTGTGGGGCAGCTGCAGCTCATCCCTGAGGAGCTGTGTGGGCCGGGCTAGGCCCCACCATGGGTGCCACTGGGCACCCCTGCCTGCCTGCTCACCACAGCTCGAGCCTGCAGAGCCCTGGGGCAGCCCCCACCTTCCTAAGGGCCCAACTGAGCTGGCTTGCCCGTGGCACCTCCTCCCATGCTGCCCAGACCCTGTCCTGACCACCGGGCCCAAGCACTTGGCACTTCAGTACTGCCCTGGGTGGGACAGGGTGTTTGCCTGCCTGGGCAGCTCCCTCCAGGGGCCATCTGGGCTGGAGGGTGCAGCCTGGGAGCACAGGGTGGGGGCAGTAGAGCACAGACAGCCTCCCTGCCTGCGTTCTCCTGGCTCTGCCCTGGGGCCTGCCGTGGTGCTGCGACTTGTGGCTGCACAGGAGAGCCCGGAGCAGCAACTTAAAAAAAAAAGATTTTCTTTGTGTGTTTCCCGGCGTGCCAGGAAAAATGTCTCCGCGTGCCACTAATGGCACGTGTGCCAGGGATTGCTGACCCCTGTGCTAAACATTTGCAGAATTAGGGCCAATGTCTTTTAAAATACAAATATGCAGAGCTTTAATACTTGAGACTTGGTTTTGGTCTAAACCGAAAAAAAATATTGTAGAAGGAAAAGATGCACTATTTTGCTTTCAGGTATCGTGTATTCACTTTTACTTTGATACTTTCTCTTTCTTTTTCCTGCTGTTTTTATGTTTTTAATCACCTCTGTGCAACAGTTTCTGAAAACTTATACTTGGGAACTATTCAACATGTTTTCAGTTACTTACCTAAAACTGAAAATATGTTAAAAGCAGTAAGTACACCTTGGTAAGGTATCAACAAGAAGCTTGTTTAAACCTCTTGCGTTTAGTAAGGGTGAAGAGGTGGTGAAAGGGTACATATTTAGTCAAAGAAGTTTCTTAAATGTTACCAGGAAGTTGGATGTTTTGCTCTAGTTATTGTACATGTTATTTTCAACATCTGTTATTCCCTAAAACACAGATCTAAATTTAGACTCCTCAGAATGCGTTCTGCCTTTGAGGTTTGCTTTAAATTTTATTCCATTTTTATTATGGTAAAACTTCCTTAGAACAGCATTTTAGTCAGTCCATCTCCAACAATTAAAGCAACACAGCTGTGGATTTATTTTTATTTATAAATATCATGTCTAATGTTTAATTGAATGACAACTTTATTAGTGAATTTTTTATCAGTTGGGAATCCCAACAGAAGCTGCAGAACAAGTTGCTAAGACAATAATTTATAGCTGGGAAATAGGATTGTTCTAGCCAAATATTTGCTGAAGAGTACACTTTGGAGTTGACCAGAACCATTCATAAATTCATATTGAAATCATTGATTGTTTTAGCCTAATCATTGCTTGTTTGTTTCCAAACAATTTTGGGGGGGATAACAGTAATTATTTCATTTCAAAATTTTTATGTGTTTCAGTTTTACTGAATTTAATCAGAGGGGTTTGGGTTGTTTTAAATTAAAATAAGGGCTTGTTGACCCAAAACAAATATCTTTGCTCAGTTTGCTAGGAAAACAAAAAATGTCAATTCCAGTTTTAACAGGGTTTTTTTCTGTTTTAGGTGGAGCCAGTAAATCTATTATTCATACAGCTGTAGTTACTATTATTAATTTTGGAAGACATAAGGGGGAACTGTTTTCTATTCTTTATAAACACTGGCAAACTTCTGCTTTTTGAAATATTTGGGATGCAGACACACTCACTGTTTTTAACATCAGTGTAAGTGCTCTGTCATTTTGTACAACTTTGACTGCAAAACTCTACTGTGTTTGAAACGTGTTTAATTTATCACTTCTCTTTTCCCCCTTTCCAACTTCTTTCATTGTTGAAAGCAAGGCTGTTGTGGCATCATCGCATTACATTTGACTTGAGATCAGTGACTTCAGTTTGATACTGCTACCTTGGTTACTCTTGTTTACATCATT